CAATAATGTCCAAGTTGGCAGTAAATTTAAGTTTAGTTTATAGTTATATGCAGTAATTGTTGTTTTATATTCGCAATCCCACTCCAAGTAAATTGTCATAGTGATAATGACCTGCCTCATCCGTTAATAAGAAAATTTTCATGGCGGTGAGATAAAGGAAGAATATTGCAAACTGACACAAACCAATGTACAGACTTGGCCGTTAGGTATGTGGGGTCATCCTTGGTAAATTGGGAGATTCAGTAGCCAATTTTTAAAATAAGCAAACTACATTGAGCGCTATATATTTTTTGTAACTTTGTTGATCCTAAGGTATTTGAAGAAATACTAGCTGTCGCGCTAGATATAAAGTGTTTTGTCTGTAAATTGAAATTGATTGATGTTCTTGACCGCGGACGTGACAGACCATTTATATTTTTGTGACGTCTATCAAAAACGCAATTCTATAGGGTACGTACAACACGTGAAAAATCTATGTGATCCCACGTTTGCTTAATGAATTCGAACTGTTGTTAATCACCCTACGCTTCTTGTTGAGCAGCTATAATTTAGCTCTTTCGGTAACTACCTCAGGATGAAATAGGACAGGAATGCAGAGTATTGGATAATTACAATTAAATAATCAAAACTTGCAATTATGCAAAATACAATGAGCTGCGCTAAGTTAGAAATCGAAAAGACATTAAAAATATAAGCACTACGGACTATTGATACTTAGTACTTATCATTAAAACAGGTTAACAAAAATACTCAAATCGTCCAGAAAAACATATTCAACCTTTTTTGGAGATATTCAGGACCACTTGAGATTAATTTAATGTCTGGCTCATCTACAGCCCCAACTTCTCATGTCTTATTATTTCTTCTTTAGAACACGAGTTCCTTTTATAGCCTTAGTACATTTTTTTTTCGTACCTTTTCCCTTCTGCTTCTTTCTTCTGTATTGCCCAAATCTGATACTTCCTGGGCTTTATTATTAAGATTGAAGGTTATGTGTTTGTTCCTGCTATTAACACAAGACCTTCCTAAACAATCCTCATCGAGTGAATCGTTACAATCTCTTCAAAACTCCATCTACTCTTGGTTCATCAATAACTTTGTGCTTCTTTAAAACTTCCAATTAAAAGAGGCATGCTGCTACATAAGCAGGTATCTACTTTTATAATTGAGAGTTGCCACCCAGAAAGGCCGAAATTTGCAAAATGTTACGTAACTAACCTGTATAGATTGAGGGTCAGTGTCAATAGGCTTTTTATGAAGGTTTAGTAAAGTATCATTAAGGCACCTTTTTGTTCTTTATTCTTATTTTTTGTTATTGTTTCTTTTTTCCCAGATATTTTTTTCCTCTTTCTTGAGAAGCGGAGTACCGTGACGCACTTGAACTTGGCTGTAATTGATTGAAGGAAATTATTATCATCTTCTTCAGCTTGTTCTTCAGCTGTTTGTGTTATCTATAGCGCCAGGTGCGTTCTCCCCAATCTTTTCGAACTTTTCTTTGCTCTCTTTCAGTCAAGTCTTGAATATGTGGCCGGCTTTTTTTACGATCTTCTATCTTTTGCTTTTTCTCAGCGTAGCGGACTGGATCATTTCTTATTTTTTTCTCCAGCTCGTCTCATACTCATTTTCTTAGCCCATCTCCTTTTTTTCCAATTGTTGTTGTTTTTCGCTTTGGCCATTTGAAACGTAGAACAATCAATAAACATTGTATCACAGTAGTCCAAAAATCAAAAAAATCACGGCCGAGGTTATTTTGTCACCTCCGTGGACAACAAGAATCCACGGACATGACGAAAAACGCGTCAGAGACAATCCACCCACTATACAGGGTGACTTCGAAGTTGAGTCATTTATTTTAACAGTGAGTAGATCTGATCAAAAGGAATGTTTTTTCCTTTACCATTTTCCTGGTAAAATTAAAGTAACAAAGTTATAGCCCTTTGGAAGTTTGAGTACAGTCCTGTCTCAATAATAATATTATGTGGTCGTGTTTGGCGACAACGGATATAATCCGCCGTATCGGTTCATCGCATCGGAAACAAAAAAGCGAAAGAATTTGGAACGATGCTTTTTACAATTATTTCATTCATTTGTATACAGTCAGTGTCAGTGAATAGTGGTATCTGTTGCGTGGCTCAAACGAAATAAAAAATGGCACATGTTTATGCGGATCGGTTTCCCAATCGAGTGCAACCAACCCCTCGTGCCTTTGTTAATGTAGTACAACGGGCTCGTGAATCAGGTGACTTAAGACCTCACAGGGGACCTCACGATCAAATACAGGTCCGCACTGAAATACTTGTCGGGAGGATACTTTATAAAACAAGATAAACATTTTTTTTATTTTTTTTTATTTTCACACACATATTTTGGTTTATCTTCCTTCTACAATCATTATCTGTATATTTGAGGTTAGAAAATGGATCGACTGTTAAATCTTATCATTTATTTATTTATCTATAATAAACTCATGAAATCTAAAACTAAAATAATACTTACTTTTTCTAGGTTCCACAGACGTGACAAAAGTAGTTGACGAGACGATTTCACCAAGTAAATCACCTTGTATGCGAAAAATAATTCTTGAAATAGATTCATAAGTTTGACAAGACCCTAGGTGTAAAGATTCTAGCGCGACATACGAATTTTTGAATTTATAGGGAGGATCCACGGACATGACGAAATTTTGTAACAGACTTCAATACATACAAATTAATGTATAAAAGTCGAGTAAATTATTTTCATGTTCAGGAAAAATCAGGAAACACAAAAATAAGGTGTTTACCAACACTATGTCTCATTATTTCTATTCTGTTAATGAAAGAAAAAAACTTTTTCGTGCTCTGGGATTCCGTTGAGACTGTCCACGGACATGATAAATCACATTCCAGGACGAGATAATCATTAAAAAAAATTTTTTGAATAAAAATATCAAATAAGTAGGAATCAAAAGAGGGTATTTTTATTATTAAATGAAAAAAAAAATGTTGCAAAAATAGTTTTTTTCGACAATGTACAGTAGATGTGACCTACTGTCTGCCTATGTATTCAGAACCCCTCACGTGTGAGGGAGATGGATGTATAGAAGTAATTCTTGCAGTTTCACTTTGACCGGCGAAAGAAACACGCATAGTCCTATACTATGATTATTTTGGTAGCTGTACATTGAGATGAAATGATACTTGAGTAGCGTAATAAATAGATTACAACAGGGGTCTCAAATTAGACCCTCGCCATTGAGGTTACGGAAACGGCAAGGGAGACGGAGTCGCTTAAATAGGGGCAGAGCTGAGTATTTAGGTAACTAACGAAATTCTGATTAGAAAGTTTTAATATCTGAAGTACTTCCAGAGAGTGAAATCGTTTTATTTATTTCCTGACTTTATTTGTAAGGGAATGTTGAAGTAAATTGCACACTAATATTGCCACTGTTTTTCCTGTGCTGTAATAACTTCAATATCACGTTTCGCCTCTTGTTTTCCAGCATCAACTTTATTCTTTCTTAATTGCACCATATTGGATCAGGTGAAAAGAGTTTTAAATCAAACATGAATAAAATGTCATACATTGACATTGCCAAATATTAGTGATTTCAAAAAAAGAAGAACAGAATTTCTTAGGTATAGGCCTTGAAATTATTAGATGGGCATTTCTTCCATATATTAGATTTATCGCCAAATCACTTTTATTTTGCCCTGACTGTATTTCAGCTGGGATTTTCAAATAAAAAGCATGCTTTGCCATTTTCTCCACAAGATGGCGTAGTCAAATGTTCAATTCGAGATGTCTTCCTCCGACTTCCATCACCAATCTTGTTTTTTCATGTGGACGCTATATCAGAATGATATGCATTTAAATGGAGTTTTCAGTCCTCAATTCAGTGTTGTATTTCCTAAGATGACCATGGATTTGTTGTTCGAACCAGAATTACAAGGAAATAGAAATTTACGGTCAATTTATCCAGAGGAGCGTAAGACAGCTTTGAAGACCTCAAAACTTCGAATACCTCAAACATAGTAACAGAGTTTGGAAGGCCGAGACGAGGGAAAGTAAAGTGAGCAGTGTTTAATCTACAGAGAAGAGTCAGGCCTTGCCTAAAAAATAACGGACAAGGTTCCGAATATCTGCTATGATTTACCTATGTTTATTTATGATTATTGTTATTACCACCAATAAAATTTCTATTTTGTGTTTAAGTTTCACCATATCCTTTCATTTGTTCATGGTTTTAGTTTCAATAACAAATTCATGGCCGACTAAGGAAATACATCCCTGAATTTAAGACTAATAGACTATCCATATAAAAAAACAAAATTTTGACTACGCTATCGTATCCAGGAGAAAGGTGACAATAACAACTTGAAATTTATTTGAAATACCATCTCAAATAATTTCAAAAAATATGAATGGTTTAGCGATACATCTGGTATATGAAGCAAATGGCTAGCTGATCATTTCAAGGCCTACCTAGAAAATTGTATTCCTAGTTTTGAGATAACTAAGGTTTGGCAATGTTGGAATCCGACTCTATTTGCCTATGCAAAACTTTAGTCTGACATCCTTAAGAAAAAATAAAGTTTATGCCGAAGTCCGATAGACAAAACGTCGTATTGAAGAAAGAATTATAACGATTTTGGAGAATTAGGATTTTTCTGTCTCTCTACGAAAGTACCTATTTTGATGAAAGGTTCTGAGCGGTATTTTGTTAGTTATCTGAATACACCTATTTAAGCGACTTCGTATCCCCTACCGTTTTCGAGATCCCAGTAGTGAGAATTTGAAGCACCCGGTATAGCGAAACTGCATACTCTAACAGATCTACATACATTTTGCTGCAGAACTATACAATAGCACAGATCCTGTTGCGTAACTATATTTGACATTTTAGATGAGCGATAGCGTTTCATGTTTTATTGGCAGGTTCGCCCTTATGCGTTAGTCGATACTTTTCGATGATCTGCTATACTGTTTCCGATGATGATTAGAGATAACACGACGTACTAAAATGTGTTGATACAGATCTTGTGTCTTGAATATATTTATTATCCCTCATGACCTTTTGTTTCGTTACCGAAATCCTAGACTCCGAATTCAATGAATAAGTGATAATGCAGCATCGCAAACTAAGTACATGGTAGATACTACTGTGGTAAAATACATCTCCTGTCTAGTCAGTACCACTGAGAGATTCTTCTTGTACTTCAAAATGCCTTGCGTTAGTGCATGTCAATGTCATAGTCACTAAAAGAGATTAGCATACGTTATGCCTTTTCGAAGAATCGTCTGCAAAAATGATTTTAATCAAATAGCTGAACCTGTGCTCCGGGGAGAAATCATAATCAGTCCTCAAATAATCACTGTAACATTATGTATGTTGAAAATATAAATTTGAAATAGAATGTTAAAATTGTCGTTTGTTTTGACATACCTCGTCCTTCAAAACAAGGCATTTACATATTATGAGGTCAAATAAGATCTCTTTTGGCACCATTCATCTGAGACACGCCCATGGTAACGGCACAACACTGCAACTATATAAAAACTTTATCTGTGCTACTGAAGAACGAAACAGAGTTAGTGTCTTGTTCTCCAGATTATGCTCGTTATATTCTATTTGCAGAATACGTATAATTATCTGTTTCATGCCATGACCAGCTATAGTTTGGAGTCCTTTTGATTAACCAGCATTTTCCATTATCCGTTTCAGAGACAGACGTGAGACCATTTCCAAGTTCCTTCTTCTTTAAGACAAGCAAAACATACGATTAGCATTGATGAGTCAACGCGGAATAGCTATTTGTGTATAAATTACGGACACTACTTTTGTAAATGTATTTGGTAATAGGAATTTGATATTGCGCCCTTCTTCACTTGCACTAAGATACAAAAAGATATTTCGTATCTCAGCATTAGCTGATGGAATGTCGTCCAAATAACAATGATCCTAAAACTAGAAAAAAAACCATTGAAATTGCCTCATATAGACGCACAAGCCATCTACCGCTGCTTTCAAAGCTGTTTTGAAAAAGTAAAAACTAAATTAATACCGAATCGTCAATATGGTTTCTAGGAGAAACATTGAACTATTGAACAAGTGCACAGAATTTTGAATATAATTAATTGACTGTGCTCTGAATTGAAACAACTCATCTCTTATCCACATTACTTGATTCTGAAGCCATACGAGACAAAAGGTACCTTCTCGTAAAGCGTAAAGCGTTTATCGGTTCAGGCTTTCCACAAGGAAGTAGTTTAGGACCTACCCTCTTCTGTATACCATAGATCTACCCAGTGTAAGTGATGTATGCATAGCAAGCCCCAATTTCATGTGCGTATTTTTTTATTGAAAATGTTAAAAATATACTTATTTTACCATCAAATATATTACACATTTGCTAACAGTTGCTTCCCAAATACGAATTAGGAATGAAAAGCCGTCTCAAACTTAGACGGGTTGCCTCAAATCAACCTATATCATAATCATCTCGATGGTATCAATTATCTCGGGAGAAGTTCATCACCATCAGTAAAAGCCGGCTGTATCTGTAAACAATTCGGGGCAAGCAGGTGCCAGCGTGCCAGGTCCGTCCTAGACATTAGCCGACTCGACGGTCCATTACGCTACACGGACGTATATGAGGAGGAACAGGTGAAAATGCCGGCATAGGCGGAGATTTGGTGGTTTCGTCGAGGAAACACGAGAATGCATTGAAGAATTTTATATACCTACGTTCCAGTCATACGTTCATCCTCTAGTTTACTTAGATCTGTCTTGATATAATAACACGGACTAGGCCGGTATAGGCTACTGTATTAAGGCAATGCATGCGATCAATGGTCGATAATATGGATACATACAAGCTAACAATTACCGTGGAACCGACGTCTCAAATATCCACCGCCGTATCGATGATACGGAGCCTCCAGCTTGCAGGGGCCCCCACGTAGGAAAAAAATGCGTAAGGTACTTTTCGCAACCTCATGCAAAGCCACACGCTAAATTAAGAAACCGCAACACTTTCGTTCTTCGTTATGCATGGTGATAACAACTTTTGTTAGTTGACTCGGGTACTTATAAAGCATTCTCCTATGTCTGTTTTCGAATTTCCCATGGGTCAAGATAAGCCCTGATAAAGAAACAAAATGTTAGAGCTCCATTAGGCTTACGAACATTCTCTAACCTGGAAAAATGAGGTATGACGGAAATAAATTTTATACATTTTTAGAAATTTCAACTTCTCCACAAAGCCGTTTGGTTACCTTTAAGCATTTTCAGAAAGTTGCAAAGCATAGAACAACAAACTTTGGGGCTATATGAAGGCTATTTTATTATTTTATACATAATATTGTTGCCATTTAAACAATTTTTGAAAATGAAGTGCCATTATCTGAAGGGTACAGGTCCATAATGAGCTAAGTCGCCAAATGTTTATTTCGTACAAAACAGAGTTTAGCTTTTAAAACTAGTAATTGATAAATTCTTGATGGTTATTATGAATTCTGTTAATTAGATTAGTTATTTGGGTAATTATTGAGACACACACAAGAAATTAAACTTATATTGTCATTTATACAAAGTAGAACATAAGCATTAATTGGTCAAACCATCAAACATTGTTGGCCTAAAGGGGCCAAGTCCAAAAAAAAACAAGGTATACCGAAAAGTAGACAATAGTTATTAATATAAAATATACTTCTAGTTCTTGGGCAGGTTATCGAAAAATTGTTTTGCTTCGTCACCACAGAATCGTTTTAAATCTTGTAGGTGTTTAAATTTTTTAGCCGTGATGGGTATCAAACCTAAAAATAATTTTGTTGTTTAAAAAAAATAGTATTTCAAGATATAAGTATTTTTTATACCTGAATAAGAATACGGAGGAAGTACAAATTCATTTTGCAATAGCACAGGTCCCTTTCGCTTAGTCTCTTTTCCCTTCACTATTGCTGACTCCCATGCTCCATTATAGGACTCTCGGTAATATATTAGTCTATGATGTTCTTGATGTATTTCTAATTCTCGAATAGGACGGGAACGGAAAGGACATTTCTTCAAATAATCCGTTTTGGTATTAAAAAAATTTGTCCATGCTCGAAAGTAGGATTGATCTATTTCCACAACGTCAAATGGTGATGGTTTTGCACGAGCACTTCTAAAAATTTCTACCCAATCTGAAGGAATCTCTGCTCTTTGGTGGGAGTTTATTAAGCCCATATTTTTGTCCGGTTCCATGTAGGAATGCCCACGAATAGGAAAAGTAACTTTAACATAATCAAGTCTATGTGTATTGTGGACAATATAATGCAAAAAACGAAACATCGTGTAATTTTTATTTTGCCCTCCACACGAGTCACAGAATATTTCAAGCGATCTTACTTGTAAATCGAGAAAATTCCATAAAAAGTCATTCAGCATTGAGCATACATCGTCGCTTCCCTTTTTGCCAAGTGTTTCCGGGTAAATGTAAAACACACTTTTTGCTGTCGATAGAATGTGGATATTAAAGGCATAGACGTCAGCTGGCTCTTATAGTAAACATCGTTTGTTGTTATGTTTGGGACACTGAGATTTTGTCCAAAATCGAGACAAATAGCTTCGTGAGTCACAGAGGTTCGACTTCGTTTCTTCGCAGCCCTTTTTCTACTGTAAAATACCTCAGCCTTTCTTTTGTGTACATCATTTTGTATTGTAATATGGCGTATTTCCTTTTGAAAGCGTTCTTTTTGAGCAATATCCATACTCTTTAAAACATCAGACTGAAGAGATTTTATTTTTATAAGAAACTCATCGCAAGAACTACATGTATCGGTCCTGGGATATCCAAAGGCTATGTTGAATTTTGTATTAAAGACTGTCCTGTATGACTCGTAAGATACTTTCATAGAAGGGTTCAACTCGCAAAACATTTTGAACATCTTTTTTATGTTTAAGTCTTCAGGTAAGTATAATTTTCTACTATCCTTCACACTGTAGTGGCTTTTCCTGCCTTTAAATGACTTTATATGTTCGTATATTGCTGCAAGAACGTGAGCATCAAATTTTCTAGGATGGTTTTTATTTTCTCCTTTTTTATCTTTTGGAGCGACTCCAGTCATTTTTAGTGACTTTTGTAGTATCTCTAATTTTTTTTTCTTTATTCCATGAACAGACATAAAAGCTTGTCTACAAATATTTATTTCCTGTAAGCTATTATCAGTTCTAAAACGTACCCTGTAAGAATATGCACTACTTCTCAAATTTGCTACGTCTTCATCTTTCCTAGGCCTTCTTCGGCGAATGAGGAGTACCGTAATCAATCCACATAAGTAGGAGTTCTGCTAATTAATAGAAGTCATTGCGTTAAAATTCTTGAGAATGGTTTTTCTTGCTTCTTCAGGTACATTTTGGAAACATTGTTTACGACAGTTACAGTTTGCACCTACCTCGTGGCTCTGCAGTCTAATCTTTTTCATGACATCTCTCATTCTGCCGTACTTTTTCCTCTTTTTTGATTCATTCTGTCTAGATACTACTTCACTCTCATTTTCGCTACTATTGTTCTCAGTATTTATTGTTGTTTACTTTTAAATTACTTGAAAAACATTGAAAACACTAGCTACTCCGACTAATCCAACTCTAAACTGCGCGTATTAGATCGACATCTATCAGCTGTTTATATGGACTTTACCCTTTTAGGACCTGACTGATGCGGACTTGCCCCCTATTGGCGGTGTATGCGTAAATAAGAATTAGAATTTCACAGGCACTAAGCGCTTTTAGGACGTGTTCAAGTCGCTGACCACTTCTACGTTAAAATTGCTACAAGATGGCACCACTAGATCTATTCGTGTAAAATTACGACTTGCCCCCTTTTGGACCTGTACCCTTCATCTACAATGAACCCTGACTGGATGTATGACGTCCATACAATTTTTTGATGGTTTTACTATGTGGTCTCATGCACTTTCTTCTAAGAACAATTTAGCCACAACCTCGCCGACTCAGTAAGTAATACAATATCACTTAATTGTTTGTTGTTAATATTTTTTAAATTTGTCTTTAGCTCCTGATGATGATAGGGTGGACTATCGAAAGCTTGAGTTCTAAATTAAAAGAGAGTACACTTTTTTGTAGCGTCCCAAAGACCTATTGAAGATACTTTCGCCTAACTAGTTACGACAATGGCTACGTCCTATATAGTATTGTGATATAGTCTGTCGAGGTTACCATCAACAAAGTTGTGCGCCATTGTAAAGAGGGCGCTCGAAAATATAACGGACCAATGATTTGAAAGTAAAGCATTTTAATGAAAAATATTTCGAGGTTGTCCTATAAAGCGACCTTTCTCGTTACCATAATATTTATACATAATGCTAGTTTTCTGTTCATCCTTTTATATCGGAAGATACCATATGAATTTTGGCCTCGTTGAAGGCGTTATAGATCCGTAGGCTTATCAAGTTTAGTTACCCAGAAGCCAGAGAGAGTTAAAAGCAAAGGAAACAGATCATCATGGTCATCATCGTAATCATGTTTGGCTTTAGCTTTTCTTCAGATGCTGTTAACGTTACTATCTATGAATATCTCTTTTACAATTTGTGCTTTTCTTTCTTGTGATTCACATCAGCTGACATGACACGAGATCGTAGTTTCTTGGTTTGAAATAAGACAAAAATCACCACATATTGTGCAACTTGTGGGGTTTTGAGAATATGTTCCTATCTACTCACTCCAGACTCTTCATATATACTAAGTGACATATAAATCCGAACACCCAGTTTAAATGGCTTTATTTTAATAAAAATTGGTGAATGTATTTATCTTACTGTAAATAACAAGTGAAAAAATTTTCAGCCTTATCAGTTGGACATTCCGGTTTTGATACTGCTTTTTTTTAATTCACTAACGCTCTAAAAATGAATATTTCAGCCGCAGTAAAGAATCAACGTTGGCGGATTTTGGTTCTTGACATCCTTTACGATCGGTTACGATGCCTAGAGTACGGAGACCTGTACGATTTCGTCAACTTAGTAAGTTTGATAGGGGTCGTATAGTGGAACTTCGGGAAGCTGGACTTTCTTTTCGGGCAATTGCAGTTAGAGTGCAAAGAAGTGTAGACACTGTGTTTAGGTGTTGTCAGGCATGGCTTCGAGAAGACCGTACGCAAAGAGCGGGGGGCACTGGACGCTGCCGTAGAACAACAGACCGTGAAGATCGCCGCCTAAGATTATTGGCCTTAAGGGACCGTTTCTCCACTACCAGGTCCATTGCAAATGAATGGTTTGCAGAACACGGAAGACCTATTGGCATGCGAAGTGTTTACCGACGAATGAGAAGTTTTGGCTTGTTTTCATACCGGCCACACTGGGTCCTCCCTTTAACTCGAGAACACCGACGTAATCGCCTTGAGTGGTGCAGACAACGGTCACTGTGGGATCAGGAATGGAACAGTATTGTCTTTAGTGAAGAGTCTCGACTTTGTTTAGGCATGCACGATGGTTGTGCCAGGGTTAGAAGGCGGCGTGGTGAAAGGAAGAATCCACAGTTTTTTGTTTGAAAGACATGTTCATCACACTGTTGGAGTTATGGTTTGGGGTGCTATTGCTTATGGTTCCAGGTCACCTTTAATCTTCATCAGAGGTAACATGAACGCGCAGCGTTATATCCACGCAGTTCTAGAACCCCATCTTTTACCCTATCTTGACACCCTGGCAGATCCAACTTTCCAACAAGATAATGCCCGACCACATGTTGCAAGAGTCACAATAGACTTCTTTCAACATAATGATGTCACATTGTTACCATGGCCACCAAGATCTCCCGACTTATCCCCAATTGAGCACGTGTGGGATATGATGGGTAGGAGATTGCTCAATTTGCAACGTCCTCCTCAGACTCTAGAAGCACTTCGAGAGGAGTTGGTGGTTGCCTGGAATGAGATACCACAGGAGGACATTGACCACCTGATCAGAAGCATGCCTAGGCGCGTTGGAGAATGCGTAGCACATCAGGGTGCATCCACACATTATTAAAGGTCAAAGGGCTTTAAAGCAGTGCAATTATTTTGAAATTTTTATCATTTACTTATTATGCTTCATTAAGTACTTATACAAAATTTTATTAAAATAAAACCATTTAAACTGGGTGTTCGGATTTATATGTCACTTAGTATACATATCTATAAAGGTTAGGAAATTTCAAAACTAAGCATCCTTCGCCAACATATTTGTTTCAGATCTGCATTTCTGCGCAGCTTGAGCGTGTTCAGCTCCTTTCAGTTGAAAAGGCTCTGGTTCGCCACTGTACGGTACTGCTGGACCAAACGAGAGATAAGATTCGCCGAAGCCACCTGCCAGTCGCCGCATCGCTTCAAGTCGTAATCACAGCCCTTCAGACCAGCCGAGGTTTACGAATAAAAAAGACAACCGCGACCGAGTAAGGATAATTATTTATGGTGGTGAATCGCGATTGCACCTGCCCAGACATTTTTTGTTCTACTTTTTGTCTGTGGATTGCAACATGAAGCTACACAATCGAGAATGATATTTTATTGTTTATAGTCAAAAAGCCCTCGATAAGGCGTCTAATGGAATGACACACTTACTATAAGCAATGTTAAGCGATGTAGAAATCATAACGGTACGGGTATTATTAGTCTAATCATATTAGCAAATTTCCCCGAAATAATTGTATAGTCTGATTTTATTGATACAACTTGTTTAAGGGGGTATTTAGATCATGGGCGCATAAAATGGGTACACCAATATTTGTGGGAAAACTTTTTATTCAACAACAAAGAATGAGAAAACGTGTTTTTCGGGATTCAATGTTGTCAGGAACCAAAACACACTTCAAATAAGATTCTTAAGTGTATATGAAATCTACAGAATGAGACCATACGGAAAAAGATCTGACTAGTAGTAAACAAGTTATGGTCGAAAACCGAGGAAAAATGCAGGTTACGGCTCTTGTTGCTAATGCGACGATAATTTCACGCAACTACTTGAAATTCGTCAGATCCGCAGACTTCATACTTGTAAATATCCACAACAAAATTGGGGTCGACTGGTTAAGTAGTTTTTGAGAATTTGTAATTATTTGTCCCAAAACACCAATCTTCCAGCCATCACTACTAGTTTACTGAGTAATATACGAGGTTCGTTCAAAGAACATTTTATAGCGAAATACACGAGTTTAAAAGCATTTAAATATTTTGATTTGTGGGGTAAAAAGAAACTAGTAGGGAGATAGCTTTTGTTACTTGATACGCTACCTACCTTCAGTGACTATACAAACCACTTAATAATGAAAACAACACGTTGCACCCCAGATATTTTTGAAGCCCTAACTTAGAGGGAAGGTCATAGTTTTGCCTGCAGATTTTAACGTTGAAGTATGGTTGGTTAACATACCCTATCAGGGTCTCAAAAAGATAAGTAGAAAGTTATGCTTATCTCTCAATTTAGTCGGATCTGCATGTTGCTAGAATAACTGTTTTGAAACTATTGATATGTGCCAGTATAAACGGATAAATATGAATGAACCTAGCCTTAGCTCTGAGTATGAAAAATGCATCAACTGGATTGTCTTATACTTCCCAGAACTTCGTTGCAGCCCCCGATTTTCCATTAGTGCAATTTCACCTAAAATTTGAAAAAAGGAAAACATCAGGTCTGCTCAATTAGAATTAGAATGGATAATTGACCGAATATGCTTAAATCGGTATATCTCAAGAGAAAGAAATTAAATCTATACTTAAGATCAGAAGCTTCTCAATACAAGATCTGATAAAAAAAGACATTCACAATTAATCGCTCCTTGCAATCTACAACACCTAACCCCGCGAAAAACTCTGAACATGACCATCTCTGAAATGTAGAAAAAACAAAGTTTCATTGATTTTTTCTGTTTTGCCCGACGCCAAAGGATCAATTTTCAAAACCTGCAAAGCTCTTCCATCTTTGGCAAACGAGCAACCGTGTGCCAAAAATCCGAGTGATACTTTTCAAGCTATAGAGAGCAATAAATGACACATATTCAAAACACAAGATACCTTATTTTAGAATATTTTTGCGATTACTTTACTTTCTCACCAATTGGCATGGAAAATAAAAACGTACGGTATTTTGCTGCAAATGTGAGGCTGGTCTCGTTGAATCTATTGATAACACAAATAAAGGATGAAGTCGACTCCTGTTAAAAGTAGACAGCTATTGATACAAGTGCTGCAGGTGCCGATGACAACTTTCAGAAAATCGCAGAAATATTTTATGTGGAAATAGTGATATGCATACAACTGGAACAGCTAAAATAGTTAAAATGTGATTGCAACATATTGACATGTCAGACATCTAGAGGATACAAAATGATTGTTGAAGCTTGTTTTGTCGCATCCGGGTCATTCTTATTTTCAGCGAAAACATTGTTTTATACTTCGAAAGTAGTTATGCAATATAAAAAGAGTTACTTCATCTTCATTCTTTAAAAAAACATAAATCTAATCACCATACAGCTATTAAAATCGATGGAAGAAGGAAAGTCACGCGCCG